AGGATCAAGTCATGGAACGGGGTAATCTAGGGCTCAAGGTTCGCAATTTTTCTTCTTTCTTTGCAACTATTTTTGTTAGTATTGCTTCATTTATTCTGAATTTAATATATTATGTTCTATCATCATGGGCTTGTGATAGGTTAACTGACAATCCCGGTTTATGCGACTCTGCTTTTATTTACCGTTCCATTCCTATAGAAATATGGCTTGCAATTTTATACTTTGATGTGTTATTTCTCTATCTAACTAATTTTTTCAACCATTACATTAATTTTTTCTTCTACTTTGTTTAATATAAGTCAGATTTAACATTTTAATCCGTGCCAAGACAAATACCGGTTTTATAAAATGGAAAAAGGCAGTAACTTTATGAATTGAAAGAAAGACTCATTTTATGCTCTCTCTATGGTTTCTCAAGCATAAAAATCTTGACAACCAAGGTTCAAAGGGATACTTTTAGAGAGAGAGGGGCATGTTGTTCTCTCTTCTCTGGTGAACTGAGTCTCTTACATTGCATGAGTCCAATGTATGTGTTTATTGTGGGAAATAAGAAATGTATGCAGCTTTTATTTCTTTCGCTTTAGAGACAGTGATAGTAACTTGATATAGTTTGTTATAAAATCAATTATTATAGCTTCTTTGGAGTAAGTCTATTATTAAAAGCTTGAGTTCCTACTATCTTATTTGTCTGGCAGGTTTCATGTCGTTTTCTTTGCTGTCAATTCTTTTGTCTAACAATGAAGAATAAGCTAAGTGGGGGAAGAGTAGGATAGTGGTATTTACCTGAATAAGCAGTGAGAAAGATACCCAATTGTAAATTGTGTATTGTGGAGGTTTTTGGTTGGGATTTTCAGAAAAAAAAAAAAACATTAGAACAGGGGATTTTTTTTTGAATTACCATCAAGGGTAACAAATAAGCCAGAGATAAAAACACAAAGCTTGGAAATATTTTATCAGTAGTAATTTTTCCAGAGAGATTTTGGTGATCTTTTTCTGATATTTTAATAAGCAATAAGTAACTCAAGATGATTTTCCTTTTCCACATTTAGCTGGTGAATATATGATAGATTTTACTACAGAAATAGAAAATAACAGGACGAAATACTAATGTTTTACACTGAAAAACACAGAATCTACTTCAGCAAAGTCTGAGAATAACCACTACAACACTTATAACTTCTAATTTACAGCATATAACATTCTAGACTGAATAGAAAATGACTGAAATCAATACTAGCGACATAGAGCCAAAATACGTATTACTAAGATTACGAGACATTAAATTTCTAGACATTCGAGAGGCTAGAACTCTCCCAAGGATTCTATATTTTTCTGTTGAATATTTCTCACCCTACTGCTTCTTTCTTTCTCCAGATAAAACTGCCCACTACATGAGTAACTGTCAACAAGCGGTTACTAAGTTTTCAATTTGTTATTTTATGCCCTCCTGGAATAAGTTTTTGTAACCTGAGGCTTATCAAAATATTTCTAAAGAGGCGTGATTAAAATATGATACTAGTACATTGGTGAAATTTCATGATTTCGATGAAGTCATTTATATAGTAGCACTTATTGTTCTATATGTTCATATTGTTCATGCTGTGGTGTTTTGCGGCTCTTTAGGATTTGATTGGTGTTTTTAGCACTTAACTATGTTTTTATCTGGTAAAAGCTTCATGACTAATGATGTTTTGCTTTTTTGAATGTTTAGTTTAATTTCTTTTCTTTTTGGCAATTAATATTGTGGTGCTTATTGTTTTTTTGAAGTCTTTAGGAGTGGTCAAGTTGTTGATCTACATGACTTGCTCTCTATTTGCAGAATTGTATGGAGCAATCTGTCCCTGTTAGGGTTACACGTGGACATCGGTGTGTGAATAGTTACGTTGGAAAGGTTTACACCTATGACGGCTTGTATAGGGTAATTAATTTCCTCATCTTTGAATCCTGAAAGATTTCTTTCTGAATAGATGCAGAATGTGCTTGTAAAAGTTGAGACATATTTCTATTTGTTGATATGAGGTTTGTCATTCAGAGCTTCCCATCTTTGTTCTATCTTTAGCGTTAGTTTAAACGGGCTGTTTTTAGAATTATTATGTATGTAAACAGCTGTTGCTAGCAACACAACAGTAACCAAATAGAAGAATATGAAAGCAACATTCAATCAACATATGGATGTGTGAGTGTTGACTATGTAGGTGATTTGAGTGGTTTACTGTTGATGAATATGTGCTTAATCTCATGATATTGGACCATTTAATCTGGTCAGATGTGGATTCTGACCGTGACATGTTTAGTTATGTAGGATTGACCAATCTACCAGATACTTCTAATGGGCTAAATGACCATCACACTGATAAGGAAAAGTGCTGGAAAAAGTAAAGAATATAAATACGTGATGTCATTTTTCAGCCTTCTGTTGTTTGTGCTAGTCAATTTTTTACTTTCTTCTAAATTATGGCGGTGAAGATTTGGGTGCTGTTCAAATGTTAAAACATGGATATATTCTAGTATTACGCCAAATTAGCTTTGTTTTGCAGGTTGTAAATTACTGGGCAGAGAAGGGTATTTCTGGATTCACCGTTTTTAAATACCGATTAAAACGTGTTGAGGGTCAACCTGTGTTAACCACCAACCAGGTTTCTTTCCTTTTTTAACTTCACCTCTTTTGCAGTGGTATTTTATGCTTTAATTTTAAGCTTTTGTTCCTGTGCCAAAATAGTAAATGTCCTTTTGCACTCTTTGATTTTCTATCTTGGACTTCGGGGACTGCAAAATAACGAATCTCTTCTATTTTAAGGTAGAAACTTCGAATTTGTAATTTCACTAATGAGTAGATACCTATGTTTCTTGAGTTTGTTGTCTGGAACGTTCAAGCAGTTTGTTTCGTGAAAGTCTTTCTTCTCTAGATCTTCACTTGTTTTACATTGTCTTTGTGTAACTTCTAAGTTACCTCCAAGTTCAATGCTTTCACATGGTTTTGAATTCATAGTAGGCTACACACACACCTCTGATTTCTTCTAATTAGGGGCAAAATAATCTATTTCTCCGAAATTATCTTAAAAACTTCGTCTTCTTTTTCTCCTTCTTCCTAAATTATGGTTAATAGAATATATTTTATTATTGGTGAGAAGTCTTTTGACATTACTGAAGTCAAAAATGGTGCAGAGGTTTGGTACGAATGGGTGGAATGCAAGAAGAATTTCATGAGGAAAATGACTCTCAGTCGAAATGTCATGTTGTGGGTTTGTGGTCTTCTTCATACAACATCTGATCGAAAGGGGAATGAACTCAGAAGGTGGAAGTCCAGAGACCATGTCTACAATTTCTTATGTACAAAGAAATACAATGATTTTGGCAGATATATAAGCATTGTAGCAGTACAGGGTGAACGCAGAGCTATCATAATCCTTCTAGAAGCCGTATTCAATGTGGGATGATGAGATGTTGCATTAAAGATAGAGAAGTTCATAAATAAGGTGGCTCCAGCTGTGAAAAGCTTTATCAAACCAAATGTGAAAAGTTTTGTCAAACCAACAGGGGAGCACTCTTATATGGAAGCATTCAAAACCGATAAGTGTGAGGCAAAAGGAATCTCGACGTCGTCTGCACAAACCCCTTTTGGTCAACGAGTTGCTGTTCAAGGGCCTGGAATTTTTGATAAGGATTTACTAAGCAGATGTTTGGTTGGCAGCTTCAGTGATACAAAGGAATTGCCCACTCTCTCCGACATCAGGAGATGGGTCACTAACAAATGGAGCAATATCCCTAGCATACAAATGTACGAAATGCATGGCTCAAAATTCTTGTTCGAGTTTTCGTCAAGAAAAATGGCAGACCATATCAAAATGGGGGAATGGAGATGGATGAACAAACTGTTGATGCTTGAATGGTGGTCGCCTATAGTAGGATGCTACCCGGCTGATGCAAAGTTGGACTGGGTTTAGGTGAGATTACTAGGGATTCCTCTTCATCTTTGGTCCTAGAAAATCTTCAAGCTAATTGGGGATAAATGTGGGGGATGGATTAAAACAGAGGAGGAAACTTCTCTCAGGAGTCATTTAAAATGGGCTTGAATCAAAGTGAAGGGCCCATTCGACAGAATCCCAAGAGTCATAGAGGTAGAGAAAAATGGCATAATTTTCTCTGTGCCGATCTGGTGTGAATCGTCGGCGACCTGGTGCAGTGTTCATGGTACATCAGAAAAATTTGAAATTTCTAGGGGTCCTAACCCTAGAAATACAACTATGGGTGGGTCAGGAAAGTAAGAGGCACGTGGCTCAAGAGTCATGTGACATTGAGGTGGGGCCTTCTTTTAAAAAAGGTTCACATGCTATTGCTGAGTCATCTAATGGGCCTAGTAAAATTCAAAGTCCTCTTATTTCTTTCACTAAGCCTATCCCCACTTTTACTTAAAGCCCAGAATTGGGAATAAAAAATAGATTCTCACTTCTCTACCCAGGGGACAGACCCGACCCGATGTTGGAAGAACTCTATGCAATTCATAACTTAATGGACATCGTTGTATCAGAAGATCCACCTTAAACGGAAGACCCACCATGTCTCTCAGATGCAATAGGGAATTTGGCTTTGCATGGTGGATTCGAAGAAGAAGGCCAAGCTTTAGGGGGTGGCGAAATCATTCCCTTCTCCCATCTACCCAAGAATACCCTACAATTGTCAAAATATGAAGATCAAGAGGCATGGTCTGTTGATGAAGCAGAATCCTTGGACTCTCAATTTCTAGAGGCGGAGATGGAAGCTTCCTTATGGGTGCACAAAAATGTTTTGAAGATGAGCAAAGCATACAGAGTGAACTTCCAGGGGTGCGAGGGAGAAGCTTTGTCCCTCCTCATGAAAATCGATATGCGCAGATTAGAGATAAGAGAAGAAGCTGCTTTAAATATAGTGTCGACTCCAAAAAAGAAGAAGGGAAGCATGGAAGTTTAGAATCTGGTGTTCAACATGAACTTCCCAGAGTCCAGTTCAAGAAGCAGGGGGAAATCTACCTTCAATTGTTATCAATGAAGGTAAAAATTATTTCTTGGAACGTGATGGGATTGAACAGAAGGGATAAAAGATCTATTGTCAAGTCTCTATTTGAGAACTGGAAGGCTGATATCTACTGCTTACAAGAATCGAAATTGGAAGGAGATGTGCAGAGTTTTGTGAAACAAATTTGGGGGTTCAGATGGGTCAAATTTGGCTGTCTTGAAGCTAGTGGCAGTAGAGGGGGTATCTTGGTTCTTTGGGACAGTAGATCCTGGAAAAGGGAGGTGATTAGTGTAGGTAGCTATTCTATCACTATTAAGTTTGATGCTCAGGGCTATAATTTCTCTTGGCACTTGATTGGAGTTTACGCTCCGCATTGTAGACTTGAAAAAAGGAATGTTTGGTGGGAAGTTGCTGCTTGGTCCATGGGTTGTTTGCGGAGATTTCTATGTCACTAGGTTTATGGAGGAAAGAAGGGATAGTAGCATCATATCAGGAGCCATGACTGAGTTCTCCAATTTCATTGAGGACCTTGAGGTCCTCGACCCTCCGCTTTTAGAGGGAGTGTTTACATGGACCAGGAGCAACAATTCTCATATTGCTTCTAGATTGGACAGATTTTTGCTCTCCTCTGATTGGAATGAGAGCTTTAGGAACATAAGGCAATCAGTGCTTCCCAAACCTGTCTCTGACCACACCCTCATTTTGCTTAATTGCGGTGTCTGGGAGACTTCTAAATCTTATTTTAAGTTTCAGAATTGGTGGTTGGGAGTCGAGGGCTTTAAGGACATGGTTGCGTTGTGGTGGTCTTCCTTCAATGTCCAGGGGAGACCCGACTTTATTCTCGCTCAAAAACTCAAGCTCTTAAAAGGTAAATTACAAGATTGGAGCTTAACTCAAGGAGGAAACCTGTTAGCTATGAAATTTGATTGTCTTAATAATATCCTGGTTCTACAAATTGCCCAGGAGACTAGGGACCTTACTGAAGATGAATTGTTATAGATGGCAAGCCTTACTATGGACCTAGAAGAAATTGCAAAGAACGAGTAGTTATCCTGGAGACAAAAATCAAGAGTACAATGGTTGAAACAGGGGGACAGAAACACAAAGTTCTTTCACAAGGTGGCAAATGCTAACAGAAGGTTCAATGCAATCGATAGACTCACCATTAATGGGGTTCAAGTTGAGGATTTAACTGCAATCAAAAGTGAGATCCTTGATTTTTACCTGTATCTGTATAGCGAGTTCCAATCATGGAGGCCTGAGTTCAACTATAGTCAATCCCCTCAACTAAATAACTCAGAAGTGGAGTGGCTAGAGCGGAATTTTGACGAGCAAGAAATTTTGGATGGGCTTAAAGCATGTGCAACTGACAAAGCTCCTGGACCTGATGGATACACCATGAGTTTCTTCTTACACTATTGGGATGTCCTAAAAGAATATCTGGTGAATACTTTTCAGAATTTTCACTCACAAGAATATTTTGAGAAAAGTTTCAATGCTACCTACATAGCTTTGATTCCTAAGAAGGTTGGTGCAGCTGAGCTGAAGGATTTTAGACCTATTAGTCTGATTGGCAGTGTATACAAGATCATTTCTAAGGTGTTGACTGAAAGAATCATGGATGTAGTCTATAAACTTGTAGACTCTCAATAGATGGCCTTCATCAAAGGCAGGCAAATCATGGATGCAGCTTTAATAGCTAATGAATGTGTTTACTCCAGAATTAGGGGGAAAGATCCAGGGGTGCTGTGCAAACTTGATATTGAAAAAGCTTTTGATCATGTAAACTGGAATTATCTTATCAAGCTTTTGAAATATATGGGTTTAGGCTGCAAAAGGATTAAGTGGATTCACTTCTGCATTAGTAATGTTAGATTTTCCATTCTTGTGAATGGCACTCCAGCGGGGTTCTTTCCATCTCAAAGAGGATTAAGGCAAGGAGACCCACTCTCACCTTTCCTCTTCATTATTGCCATGGAAGGTTTGAATAACATGATCAAGAAAGCCTGTCTTGAAGGTTGACTGAGAGGCTTTAGGGTGCTCAACAATGACATAAGCAATTTGGAAATTACTCACTTACTATATGTTGATGATTCACTGGTTTTCTGTGATGGCAAAATAGAGCAAATTACACACTTGAGGTTGATTCTGACTGTGTTTGAAGCTGTGTCAGGTTTACATGTAAACTGGAGAAAATCCCTTTTGTTCACTGTGAACGAGGTTCCAAACATTCAAAGACTAGCAGGCTCTTTGGGCTGTGAGGTGCGAACTCTACCTGCTACATATCTGGGGTTACCTCTAGGGGCTAAAAATAAGTCTCAACAGATATGGAGTGGAATTGTGGAAAGATGTGAAAAGAAACTATCTAATTGGAAAATCAATTACTTGTCCCTGGAAGGTAGGGTTGCCCTGGTTAATAGTGTTCTAGATGCTCTTCCCACCTACATGATGTCTCTCTTTCCCATGCCAGTCAAGAGAAGAGAATCGACGCTCTGAGGAGGAACTTCATATGGCAAGGAAACAAGGAGAAGAAAAGTTACCACTTGGTCAAGTGGGAAGCTCTCACATGCTGCAAGAAGTAAGGGGGCTTGGTTATTAGAAACCTAAGGCAACATAACAAGAGTCTTTTAATGAAGTGGTTGTG